GCCAAGTTCAAGCAAAATAACATTTTTTGCTAGAACGATGATTAAGGACAAATGTCCCAATCCAAATTTTGGCACTTGCACAACTTGACGACTACCCACTGTTTATCTGAAACAGCACAGCCTGGAACTGGTTACTATGAATGTAAGCAAGTAATGAGAAATTCATGGAAAAATAAATTTGCCCCTTCCTGATGTCTTCTGTTTTTGCATATGCGTCACGCTTACATTTTTCAGATCAACAAATTTTAACATTAGGCAAAGAAAACAAAGTCAAATAAAAAACACCTGGAACTAAAAATGTTACCAGGAAAATGTAATTGCCCACTACACCTTATAACTGGTTGTGGGGTTATCAAGCAGTTGCAATAACAGGAAATGTGTCTTTTATATCACTGTGAAAGGAATTTGGCCCACTCTGCTGAATTCCTTTAACAACATTTTCCTTCAGGATTTTCTGTTAGAGAGCAGGATTCATGTTTCCATTAATTACAACAAATGATTCAGGTTCTGGAGCAGGAAAACAGCCCCAGACTATTACACTACCACCACCATGTTTGACCGCTAGTATGATGACTGTTTTTATAAAATGTTGTGTTAGTGTTATGCTGAATGTAACAGGAACAAACCTCCCAAAAAGTTCAACTTTTGTCTTGTCATTCTAGAGAATATTTTTATCATCAAGATATTTTTCGCCGCCATCTTCCTTGCGGCCGCCCACCGGACCTGCTCAGTAGTCGCCATTGCCACCGGCGTGGCCGCCACCAGAACTGCTTTGGCTCAGCCACAGGCCGCGTGGCTGCCCCCCGAACTGTTTTGTTTCGGACTCTGTCCCTCCGTCCTGGACCCCGTCCGCCAACTTTGTTCTGTTTTTTTCTTCTTTCGGCCGTCGGGTGCCGGCCTTTGAAGGGCTGTCAAGGTTCCTGGGTCGTTGAGTGATTTCAGTTTGTTGATGTTCAGTTTAGTTTGCCACATTAATGTTCTCATTTCCTGTTTTTCCCATGTCAGCTTGTCTCTTGTGTCATTAGTCAGATTATGTTTAGCCCTGTACTCATCTGTTTCCAATCATTGTCATCATTCGACCTGTGTATTTAAGTTCCTTGGTTTCACCAGTTCTTTGTTGTGTCATTGATGTTGATGTTGCCAGTATTGTCGTTCCCGTTTGTATTCAGTTATTCAGTCAGTTAGTCAGTCTTGCCGTTCCTGCTTTGTTCATTCACCCGCTCCAATAAATCCTCGTCATTCCGCACCGTGAGTCCAGCGTTTGGGTCATCTCTTCCTCGCCTCCACACACAACTCCTGACAAAAATACGTATTTGACTTTTTTATTTGGCACACTGCAGTTTAATGTTGCAAAGCACCTCTTTTTAACTTCAGTGGATATTATATATGGTTATGCTCAGGATATGTCAGCCCATTTCTACTGGAAATGCCTTTTGGTTAAACTTTCAGCAAGGAATTTGCATTTGCACTGTTAAATGTTTATATAACTTTAATGCACATAAACAGCTTCTTGTTTAAGTGAAAATAAATGGATGTTTGTTTGTTTTTTGCGCTAATAAAGTTGTGGAGTTGTATTTTTTTCCGCATCAATTATATCATCAGTTATATTGTTATCACAAATTTTCAAATATGTATCGTGATAAATATTTTTGGCCATATCGCCCTGCTCTACAACAAAGCACTATTTTTGGTAGCGCATGCTAGCAGGCCGTCGTTATTACCGTGTTTTTTGGAAAATACGGCACACTTGAAATCAATCCTTTTGACTTTTCTGAAAGTCGACAGAGCCCCTTATAATCCCGTGTGCCTTATGTATGAACTCTGGTTGTGTTTACTGACCTCGAAACGATTTTATGTGCACGGCGCTCGAAAATCTGTCAAATGTTTTAGTACGACTTTGCTAAGCTACGAAGCCGCACCGCTTGATGGATTGTCGGAGCATTATGGCTATCGTAGGCGGAGCCTCGCAGAGTGATACGTACTGTGCTTCAACATAATATTACTGTATTGTGTGTGTATAACCTCTTTTTAAGTTTTGTGGATATTATACATGGTTATGCTGAGGATATGTCGGCCAGTTTCCACTGGAAATGCCTTTTGGTTAAACTGTCAGCGAGGATTTTGCATTTGCTGTGTTACATTTTTATATAACTTTAATGCACGTAAAAAACAGCTGCTTGTTTAAGTGAAAATACATTGATGGGTTGGTTTTTTTGCACTAATAAAGTTGTGGAGTTGTAAAGTATTTTGTCTAGTGTCAATTATATCGTCAGTTATATCGTTATCGCAAATTTTCAAATGTATATGGTGATAAATATTTTTGGTCATATCGCCCTGCTCTAGGAGCAATTACAGCTGATTCAACAGACTTTGCTGTGTTTGACCCTGGCATTGCTGTAATGACTAAGACAACAAGAGGGATAATTTTCATCATCTTCTTGGAGTTGCAGTATTGTGTGTGTCAGTGTGTGCAAACTGCATGTATGTCCTGGACACACACATTGGCCTGTGCTAAATGACCTATATAACAGAGACAATCTGTTCTCCTCACCATGCAGGCAGGCAGTGATCGTCCAAAGCCATGCATCGATCACTTATGGGCACTTGGGTACATATTGGTTCTGACACAGAAAATCAAACAAATCAGATCATCAGAAAGCATTGGAAGCTTTTTTGAAAAGGCTTCATTGTTGTGCTTTGCTTAAAGGATAAATCAACAGTCACACAGGATGGCTGTAGGAGGTAGAGCAGGTCATCTAGTAATTGGAAGGTTGTTGTTGCTGCTTCAGTCTCCAGGACCAAATATTCTTTGGTCACATACTAACCCCAAGTTGCTCTCCGATGCATCTATCAGTGTATGTATGTGTGTGAATGTCAGACTGAAAGCACTTGAGCAAAAAAGCATGGAAAAAAGTGTTTGTATGAGGTAAGTTTGATAAACAATAAACTGGACTGGCAAAAAAGCATCACTGCACAGTGCAGGACAGGCCAGAGCCAAGGTAGCAGAGGTCTTTTAACATCGGACCATGCTCAGGATATTCTTTGAGTCTGTGTGATCAATGCCATCCTCTATGCTGTTTCATGGTTTCCAAGATAAGGACAATGCTGCAAAATGCCTCCCACCCACTCCATGAGGTGCTAGCCAGTCACAGGGGCATGTTCACTTAAAGATAGGGCTGGGCGATATATCGAGTTTTTTAAAAATATCGATATATTTTTATACGAGATGTAAGATGTGACAATATCCTTTATATCGATATAGTCTATGTTACGTTATAATTATAGTTGTGGAGCCACAAGTTTGCCTCTCTTTCGTCCACGCAACGTTACTCGACCTCGCCCCTCCTTCACTGAACACAACTCCCCCTCCTCCCCCATCGCTTCACCTGCAGGCAGCGACAAGATGAACACGGCAAATCTCCGTTAACGAGTTACTGCGCATCGCCCCGTGCATGGGGCTGGATGGCATCAACGTGTTAATGAGCTAACCACGCTAACAAGCTAACCACACTAACGCCATGCATGGCCTGAAATCCTTACATTTTCTCAAAAATCGACAGTGCGCCTTATGTATGAATTCTAGTTGTTCAGGGTCAACAATGTTTTAGTACGACTTTGCTAAGCTACGGAGCTGCACCGGCTTGATGGATAGTCGGAGCATTACGGCTACCGAGGAGCCTTGCGAAGTGATACGTACTGTGCTTCAGCGTAATATTACCGTATTGTGTGTGTATAAGGACCATAAATGGCACCTGTAAGAGACACGGTTATGAAGCAGATTTCAAACTCCAGGCTGTCAGTCACGAACTGTGAAATCTGTCTCTGTTATTATGCTCAGCGTCTTTTAGTTTACATTTTGACTGCACAATTGTGAGCTCTTTGTTATGCACAAAAACAACAGTTTTCTTTTATTTATGGAGCACTTTTATTATATAATAAATACTCATAATTTATTTTTGAGTAGTTTTTTTCATGTACATCTATGCTGTATGTTAATAAAAGTGCCTGTGTGCCATCTGGGACACAGCTTTGACTAAGAACTCTCTTTTTGTTCGTACCTTATGGCTTTAAAAAAATATTGAGATATATATCTTATATCGCCATCCTGCTAAAAAATATCGAGATATGAATTTTGGGTCATATCGCCCAGCCTTACTTAAAGACTAAGATTGCCCAAATGCACCACTCAACAACACAGGAAATCATTCCTGCCTGTGGCTATCTCACTACACAAGCACCTTGAGGCAACCGTTGTGATTTAGCGCTATATAAATAAAATGTGACTGATCTACCAAAATTACTCCAAGAGCACGTCAACCAATCATCCAGGAGGTCACAAAAGAACCCAGAACATAATTAAGGAACCGCAGGCTTCACATGTCTAAGTTAAGGTCAGAGGTCATGATTCAACAATAAGAAAGAGACTGGGAAAAATGGGATCCATGGGAGAGCTCAAGGAGGAAACCACTGCTAACCAAAAAGAACACAACAGTGTTACATGTGCCAAAAAACATCTTGATTATCTCCAAGACTTTTGGGGAAAATATTCTGTGGACTGACGAGACAAAGCTGAACTTTTTGGAAGTCACCTCTTCACAAAAGGACCATCATACCAACAGTAACATATGGTGGTGGTATTGTGATGATCTGGGGCTGTTTTGCTGGCTCAGGACCTAGAAGACTTGCTGTGGTAAATGGAACCATGAATTCTGCTGCATAGCAGTAACCCACCTGAGATTGTGAGACTACCAGGCACCCTGTGGGTTACTGTTGGGAACAGCAAGCGACACAGACTGTGCAGAGATAGGTGACACGGAAACAAAAGCAGGGATGCAGAGCAGGGCTATCACGTCCAGCAGCGAAAACAACAAAACAAACCCTGTTTCCATCCATCTTTCTCACCAACGTCAGATCCCTCGCAAACAAAACGGAGGTGATACAATCAGAGACAACAAAAGGATTATACTAAACACATATGGCTGGATGTAAGAAAAACTCACAGCTAGATAGAGTGCAGCATAGACGCTAAGCGCAGCCTCTTTGGATGGGAAAGTCTTGCGGGCACGTAGGATGTCGTCCTGGTTTCCTGTGCAGGCCTCCTGGTGGCTGATGTAGCGCAGGGCCTGCTGGCAACCCAGTGCTGTGTAGTTTGGCTTACAGACAGTCAGGAAGTACGGTGCCAGGTTTCCTGTCACTACCTGCCCTGCGTTGACAAAGATGTCAACAGTGAAGAGGCCAAAGGTGTAGACTCCTGGAAACACACAAAAAAATGTTAAGACTAACAAGAGAAATGCCGCTGTTAGCAGCAACATAGATAGTACTGAGACTGAAAAGTGAGGTGCTAATTAATATTAATGAGATACAGTCAGATTTTGTGAAACTTGATATTCCTCAGTTCAACACAACTCAATATAATTTTATTTATATAGCATCAAATCACAACAAGAGCTTTTCAAGGCGCTTTATATTGTAAGGTGACCCTACAACATTACAAAAAAAAAAGAGAAAACCCCAACAATCAAATGAACCCTTTGAGCAAATGGGAATGAGAAAACTCCCTTTTCACAGAAAGACACCTTCAGCAGAACCAGGCTGAGGGAGGGACGGACATTTGCCGCGACTGGTTAGGGTTCAGGGAGGAAGACAGGACAAAGACATGCTGTGGAAGAGAGCCAGAGATTAATAATAACTAATAATTAAATGCAGAGAGGTGTATAAACACATACTGAATGAAACACTCAGTGCATCATGGGAATCCCCGGCAGCCTACGTCTATTGCAGCATAACTAAGGGAGGATTCAGGGTCACCTGGTCCAGCCCTAACTATATGCTTTAGCAAAAAGGAAAGTTTGAAGCCTAATCTTGAAAGTAGAGATAGTGTCTGTCTCCTGAATCCAAACTGGAAGCTGGTTCCACAGAAGAGGGGCCTGAAAACTGAAGGTCATGAAGATATGTTGGGACCTGATTATTCAAGACCTTATATATGATGAGAAGAATTTTAAATTCAATTCTGAATTTAACAGGAAGCCAATGAAGGGAAGCCAATACAAGAGAAATCTGCTCTCTCTTTCTAGTCCCTGTCAGTACACTAGCTGCAGCATTTTGGATTAACTAAAGGTTGGTTTTTAGGACATCCCAATAATAATGAATTACAGTAGTCCATAAGAAGTAATAAATGCATGAACTTTAAATTTAAATTTATTTTATTATTTTACATTTACCATTTTTTTCCTGGGGACCCTGTGACACCCCATTGAAGAGCCGTAGGCTGTGGATCTCTTAAGATCTCACTGTTGGGTTTGTAAGGCCATGTTACTCCTAAATTTCTCTTGTTCAAAGAGAAGATATAAAACAAAGTTCTGAGCTAATTGACCTTAGTATTCTCCTTTTTAAAAGAATCGATAAAGAATCGAAAATGGAATCGGAATCATGAAAATCTTATCAATACCCATCCCTACATATACACACATACATATATATACACTGTAATATGCCTCTGTGGGATAGGCATTTATCCTGGCTAATGCTATAGCTCCCAATGACAATGGTTTTGTTTCTCAGCACTACTTTAACAATGAGAGATAGAAACTATTTTTATATAGCAAAACATAATAAATGGCATTTGCAATAAGAAAAATGTGTGATTCGCACAAGTAACCTCGTTGTGCTGCCTCTTCTGTCTGTGCTTTATCTTCCAACAGAATGATGGTGTTGCGACACTGGAAAAGTGCTCCATAAAATAACAAGGACAGGACATAAATCATTCAGCTTACTTGTACTTTCAGTGTGAATAATTCCCTCTGTAAGCAGCCTGTTCATCTCCTCTGTTCCTCACTCCTATGTGAGTCTGCACACAGCCGGCCTTGAACAAAATCCCCTGCTGCTCACCATCACACACCCACTGTGACCATCACCCAGGTGCCACTGCCCATTCACGCTGCTCCTAACCAAACCAACCAAGCATGGAGGGCTTTAACGGAAATAACAGCTTCCCTCGTACAGGAGTCCAGCCCGCTGACGCGCTAAATTACCTACTGACACCGAGTCGGACAATCGCTTCTTACACACACACTGAAAGAGGTGTTTACCACACAAAAACACACACATATGTATACGAGGTTCCATGATGTGTTGCTGGGTCAACCACAGAAGCTTTTCCAATCACTGTCAAGCGTCTGTGCTGCTGCAAAACTAATTCAGCCAAGGCTATGAAGTGTGCTGCGAGACATTAACAGACAGGCGGCACTGCAACAGTTTAGTGTTGCATATCTTTCTTCTTCGTTCACGGATTCTAGTTTTAAATGTCACTGCGTGACTCATTGCGGTTCCTTTGTCATCCCCCAAGAGCCACTGAGGCTTACTGCCGACAGGTCATTTTCTTAATAAGCATCAAATAGGTTTTGTCAAGCATCATGTGACTCAGTCACCAAGTGCTCGTCGCACAACGCATCGTTTTGACTCTGTCCCACTTTCTGAAGCGAGTGTGGAAAATGTGGAGGCGCTTACAGCGAACCCATCCCCCCTCTTCCTCTTTGTTGTAGGGAACACAGAGAGAGATGATCAAAATTGCTTATTAGGGCATAAATCTAATGCCTGCTTCAAACAATGCCATGATCTGCCGCAGAGCCGCTGTATAGTTTGTTTGTTCTGTGTAGTCGCTCCTCTCTTGGTGCATATCTGTGTGTCGGAGGGTGAGGACGGGTGAGGCAGTGCACCTCTTATTTGATCTCCAAAGTGCTGCAGTGTGATGTGCAGCAGAGTCACTGTTATCACAGTTTCCCAGATCCCCCCAAGTTCATAAGCAACACTTTTGGAGTGCTCAGCTGTAGTAAGCTGTAAGTAAGTCCTAATACTGGACACAGTGTTAAATACAAAGATGCAACAGCAATACGCAGTGTGACACCGTGTGAAAGTGTTGATTTAACTGTGAAATGTATTTATTGGACAGAGACTGAACTTCAGTTTCATTTTCCCCCGTGGAGCTCGTTGAGTAATTGCGAAGAATTCGTCAGTACTGAAGAACGCATAAGCACAGAAGCTCGTTAACATTTACGTTAGCAACTTCTACTTATATGTCCTGTTTTTCTCCCCAATGTTGAACTGCTTTTTTTTTTGTCTTGGCAATTCAACTAACCAGCAGATACGACACCTTCAAGGCATTGACTTTAACTGAGTTAGAGGGCTGGAAAACAGTGTTCAAGCTAAACAAAGGGTTAGAGTTAGCAAAGAATCTAAGAATGCAGGAGTAAGGGCAAAGTAAACAGTATCTGCCAGGTCTGGTCCAGTCAGACCAACATCTACTTTCATGTTCCTACACTAAATTAAACACAAATCAAACTAGGGGCTGCTCACTACACAATTACTCTTTACAACGCACAGTAAGGAGACAGTCCTCTAATTTGAATAAAGTTCTAATAAATAGCATAAGCCTAATGTTTTTCTTATTCTGTTTCCGACCCGCTGCAGGTGATATCACATTCTAAACAGTGTTTAATCTTTGAAAATGAGTTTTTCACAGCAGCAACAATATCACAAATCTCTCTGAGGGCTCTTTTACTCTCCTATTTGTGTTTCTATAGCTGCTTTTGAGAACAGCCCCTTACAATTCAAACTGCTGATAAGCTTCACCAGCAGGCATTATTAAGACAATCAGCCCTTCTGGTCTGATATGAAAGAATTAGTGCACAAATCCTTTGCACTGGCAAGGGAAAGAAAAGCAACAATGTTCACTGAAGACATGCAGGAAAGCTGCTAAAGGATCAGAAAACATCAAAAGCTGAATAGAAAACAATGATTATTTGTATGAATGAATAACACTACATACATAATAGGGAAGAGGCCTAAGGTTTGAAAATAATCTCAGTGTGTGTCAAATAACACACACTACAGAAACAAGGAGCTCAGACAGCAGCAGCATCTTCTTCAACCAGTTAGAAGAAAAAAACGAAGAAAGGAAAGACCATAAACAGCAAACAACACACAATGCAGGAGAGTTTAGACAAAAGTTAATTACATGCAATAGTGGGAATCAAAAGTCTAGAGTACGGGTGTCCAACTCCAGGCCTCCTTGTCCTGCTAGACCTCAGTGCAGCGTTCGATACTGTTGACCATAATATCCTATTAGAGCGATTAGAACATGCTGTAGGTATTACAGGTACTGTGCTGCAGTGGTTTGTATCATATCTATCTAATAGACTCCAGTTTGTGCATGTAAATGGAGAGTCCTCTTCACACACTGAGGTTAATTATGGAGTTCCACAGGGTTCAGTGCTAGGACCAATTCTGTTTACATTATACATGCTTCCCTTAGGCAGTATCATTAGAAGACATAGCATACATTTTCACTGCTATGCTGATGACACCCAGCTCTATCTGTCCATGAAGCCAGATAACACACACCAATGAGTTAAACTGCAGGAATGTCTTAAAGACATAAAGACCTGCATGGCCGCTGGTTTTCAGGCCCCTCTTCTGTGGAACCAGCTTCCAGTTTATTTTATTTTTTTTTTCCTATCTCTACTTTCAAGTGCCTTGAGACAACTGTTGTTGTGATTTGGCACTGTATAAATAAAATTGAATTGAATTCAGGTGTGTTGACCCAGGGTGAGATCGAAAACCTGCAGGACACCAGCCCTCGAGGCCTGGAGTTGGACACCCCATGTCTAGAGTGAAGACGAAACACTCAGTGCATCATGGGAAGCCCCTAACAGCCTAGGCCTATTGCAGTGTAACTAGCAGGGGTCACCTGATCCAGCCCTAACTATACGTTTTAGCAAAAAGGAAAGCCTAATCTTGAAAGTAGAGATAGTGTCTGTCTCCTAAATCCAAACTGGAAGCTGGTTCCACAGAAAACTGAAAGCTCTTCCTCCCATTCTACGTTTAATTATCTCAATGAGCGCTCAAAGTGCTGAAGTGCTGAAGTAAAGAAGAAAAAACATTATATAGGAAACACTCCATTAACCACTTACCATCTAGGAACCATGAGTAAGCCTGAGAGCAAATTGCTCTATTAGGAAAATTAGGTACTGTGAGGTCTTTAGAGTATGATCGCGTGACACTCGGATGAGCCACTGACAATGTCTAGATGAACAGAATCAACAGTACCATGTCTGAGCAATGTTTTAGCCGATACTAATTCATCATGTGAGTGTGAGCAGCACACAAACATGAACAATACTGCAGTCCGCCCAACAGCTACAGATGATGCTGACATCAGTGCTTTTTTCAGGTTACACATTGCTCCATCAAATT